GGCCCATGATGTGCGGCGGGTTCTCGGGCAAGGACCCAGGGGACCCGGACGTCAGGGCCGCCGCCGAGTTTGCGGTCGGGGCGCTGAAGAAGGAGCCTGTTCTTGTCTTCGTCGTCGTCGTCGTCGTCGTCATCGTGGTCGTCATGCTCATCATCAGGCCGGGTTCGATGGGCGCCTTTGGTCCCTGCCCTGCATGTCGGCCGTCCCGCTCCCTCTTCCTCATCGTTCTCCTCCTGTTTCCCCTCTATTTCCCTCTCTCTCCCTTTCTCTCTCGCTCCTCTTTCTTCTCTTCGCTCTATCTTTTTTTTCCCTCCTCTTTCTCATCTGCCTCCTCTTCCTCCTTCCTTGGGGCCTCTTTGGTCCTCTTGGGGGGCACCCCCTGGGCCCTGGGCATTTGGGGGGAGGGCCCACAGTGTCAGTCTGTGTCCCCGATGCCGCGCCACTGGGTGCCTCAGTAATTGTAAGTGGGTCGTGTGCTAACAGGACCGTTCCCCCGTCGTCCCACCCCCTTCTTGCATGGTAGCACAATTCGCTTCACGCCTACCCCGTTTCGCTCTGTTCGCTCTGCCCAGCCGCCGACGCAAAAAGTACTGACGGGACCTCCCATTCACCCTTTTCAGAGGGTGGGTGGGGGGGGGTAAAGGAGGGGAGGTCGAACCCCCCCCCTTGCGCCGGACAAGGGGTCGGGGGGAGTGCCTCCCGCTTCCCTGTGATGCGCAGGAGATAGTTTGGGTCAGTGTTAGGGTGGTTGGGTTGGGGTGAGAGTGTTAGGGTTACGGCGTTAGGTTTAGGGCTATATGGCTATGGGGGGTTAGGATTAGGGGTGGGGGGGTTGGTTTAGGGTGGTAGGGTCAGGGTTCGGGTGTTCAGGTTCAGGTTAGGTTTCTGGGTTTAGGGTTAGGGTGGTAGGGTTAGGACTCGGGTTAATGGTAAGGTGTGAGGTTTAGGTTTGGGGTTAGGCGGTTAGGGTTAGGGGGGTAGGGTGAGGGAGGTATGGTTAGGGTTAGGGTCAGGGGGGGTTCGTGAGGGTGTTAGGGCTAGGGTTAGGAGGTTAGGGTTCGGGTTCGGGTTAGGGGGCTCGGAGTAGGGTGCTCGGTTTAGTGTTCGGGTTACGGGGTTCGGGTTTTGGTAGTAGGGTCCAGCTTAGGGTGATAGGGATAGTGCCAGGGGGTCAGGGGGGTAGGTTTAGGGTGTCAGGGGCTAGGGTTAAGGGGGCTACGGGGTCTGGGTTAGGGGGCTAAGGGGTCAGGGTTAGGGCTATAGGGTTGATGGGGAGGGTTAGGGGTTTCTGATTCAGGGTTAGTGTTAGGGATTTAGGATTCGGGTGGTCGGGTTAGGGCTCGGGTTATGGGGTCAGGACTGGGGTGGTAGGATTTGGGTTCGAATGTTAGAAATCGTGCAATCCGGGTAGGGGTTATGGTTGGGTTAAGGTTTGGGTGTTCGGGTCCAGCCATGCGCGTTTGTTTCCGCTCCGAGGGCGTTCTTCGACCCGACGCAGGAGCAAGCGATGCCCTACGTCAGTTAGGGCACGGCGAAGGTCGTCAGGGGCCGGGCGGAGTTTGGCCGGGGCAACGAGTGCAACGCATCGGCCGAGCCGACCCGCGAGCAGTTGGCATTTGCAGTTGCTGGCCCGGACGCTGCGCAGAAGACGACGTTGATTTTGATCGATGTGATTTCGCTGGCGGTCCCGAATCCTTCTCCAGTAGCCGCGTCGGGGCCATGCTCGAGCGTTGCAACATCTTGCTCAACACAAAGAACGCCGTCTACTTCCGCCCAGCTTGCCAGGAGAACGCGGTCGAGAGGCTCCATTTGTGCGGCGGGTACTGGAAGCCAGAAACAGGTGCCGCTCTTTGGGCGTATTTGCACGGCTCCAGCGTTCGCCGCGATAGCGAGGAGTCCGACCGCTTTCTCTTTTCCGAGACGGGGAGATGGCCGAGATCATGGCGGAGCATCTGAAGGCTTGTTGCGCCGCTGCCGCTGCGCGCGCCATCGGAGGGCGCGCCGCCGAGGCGGCGGCGGCGGCCGCGTCAAGTGCGCGGCCGCCTCTTGTAAACCGCTAAACATAGCCGAGGGCTGGCGAGTTTAAATTCGATATATGTATACATATATGTACACAAATGTATGTGTGTATATATATGTATGCATATAAGTATACACATCTATATATATATATATATAGATATAGATATATAGGTTTACGGCGGGGCCTCCGAGGCTGCGCCTGCCGCTCCAGCTGCGCCGCCGCCTCTCCGAAAGCCAGATGAGGGCGCCGATGGGGGTTCTCTTCTTGGGCCTCTGCTGCGGCGCGGGCGACGGCGAGCTTCCCGAAGCCGCGCTTGTCGCGCCGTCCTCGCCGCGGGCGCCGTTGAACGAGCGCGTCGAAGTTGAGCCGGGCGTCTGGGAGAGCCCCCACCTCCCGCCAGGCAACCGCGGCTGCGTCGACTTCTGCTTTCTGGGCGGATGCTTGGGCGACGACGTCAGCAAAGTGGTCGTTGGCTCAGCGAGCAGCGGGGCGGCGCGGGCTGTCGGCCGCGGGCAGTGGGCCGCGGGCTCGGGCTGCTCGCGCGCGCGAGCAGCGGCGCGAGCTCGGGCTGTCGGTGGCGGCAACGCTCGCGCGCGGGCATCTCTGGCGTGGGCGCGCGCTGGCGGCCGCGGTCGCTGGCGCGCCATTTCGCCCCCGACTAGACATTGGCCCGCCGCGTTGTTGTGATGTGAGTCGCAGCCCTCTGGATGCGCCGCGCATGTGGCCCGGGTGCTCGGCCTCCGAATTTGATTGCATGATGCGTTGCAACTCGCGTGCGATGTGTGTTGCGTTGTTCCGCCTTCCACGTTTGCAGCGGCTGCTGGAGAAGAGGCTGGGCGCGCTGGCGAAGGGGGGGGGGGGCTGTCACTGTTGCGCCCAGCCGCGCCCCCGAGTGTTGCGGGCGCACCGTGTCTCGCGGTGTCGTCTTGGCCCACAGGGCCCAGCGCGCGGCCCGCCACTCGCGCGCCCCCCCCCCCCCCCCCCCCCCGCGCGATGTTTGGGTTTTCCCCCGATTCCCGAGAAGGGGGGGCCCGCGCCGCCGCGGGGCCGCTCCGCCTTCGCACGGCGGCCGCGAGGGCGCCCATGGCGCTCGCAGAGACGCCCGGGGAGCGCCCTGCCCAAAAAAAACAGCCAGCTGGACAGCTGCGACCGACCGCCGTTGCAAGGGGGCGCAAAGGCTGGGCCGCGCGGGGGGCTGCGTCGCTGACCCCATCAAACGTTGCGGAAGTCAGGGGCCCGCAGGCTGCGCGAAGAGAAGATCGTGCCCAAGCGGGGGGGCGCCACTCGCCCGCGCTGCAGCGAGGTCGCGCTCGGGGCGCCCGAATGGCCGCGGAGAGCGGATCGGCGGGCGGGGGCGCCGTTGCAGCCGCTACTGGTGCGCCCGCCGTGTGTCGCCCCGCTTCTTCCATCCACTTGTCAGCGGGCCCGGGCCGGTCCATTTCGACCCTGTCAGATCGGTCCGCCATCCTCTACTCGGTCGGAGGGTGCCCGCGGGCAACCTCGCGCCACCTTGTGCAGGGGGGCTGCGAGGCGGTCGAAGGCATCTGCAACTTGCCCGGCGCAGCGCGCGCCGCGCGCTTGCAGGGGGCGAACATCCAAATTCGGCAGCTGCGCGGGGTGGGCAGATATCAGAGCCGACGAGGTGGATCCGGGCAAGATGGAAGCCCCCGACGCAGGGCCTGGCGCTGCAAGGCCGATGGCGTTGGGGCAGAGGGGCAGGGTGGCGCCGCGCGGCGCTCCCCCAGAGCCTAGTACCATTCGGCCTCTAACCGAAGATGGTCAATTGCCGGGCCCCGGACCCTGGGCCCGTCCGCGAGGCCGACGTGGGCGCGTTCTCGAAGGCGCGGTGAGGGGGCGCGATGTTATCTCCCGCGCGTGCGGGGCGCGGTCGCGCGAGCTGAAGTGGCGCGGCGCCCGCAGCTAGTGGGTTGTCCACTGGGGGGGGAGCGACATGGGGAAATCGGGCGCCTTGAGACGGGGGTCCAAGCATGCGGGAGTCAGCCAAAGCGCCCGATCTTGCAGGATCCTGCAGGACCAGGGTCGCGCAGACCCGGGCATGGGTGCAGGATCCTGCAGGATCTTGCAGGATCCTTCGCGCTGACCCGGGCTTGGGTGCAGGATCTTGCAGGATTTTGCAGGATTCTGCAACGTTTGACTGACCCGGGTTAGGATTGGCCCGGGCCAGAAGATCCCCGAGGAAATGCGAGTGGGCGTGGTTCATGCCGTCTTCCAGCCGGGAGCGGTTCCACGGCGTTCCCGGAGCGCTGAGGGCGGGCGTCGAGGGCGGGGCCCGGCTCGAGACAGGCGCGCAGGTCGTCGACGGCATCCTGCGCGAGCTCCGTCTCTTCGCCGGCAAGATCGCGGCCGTCGGACCCGCGCTCGTCGAGCAGGCCGTCCGCCGCTTCAAATGGGCGCAGTGAGCCCGCGGCGAGGACCTGGCGCGAGACGGGCGCCACGTTGCGCGGCGCCCGGTGCAAGTGCTACAGTAGGTGAGCCGCGGCGCCAGCGTTGGGGCCCTAGCGCAGAGCAGTGTTGAGCACTCTGGTCGCGCCTCTTCTGCGGCCGTTCTTTCACTCGCCGCGCCATTTATTCGGCGGTGGGCGAGCGATTCCCGCGACGGGGCGCCGCGCTGCTGTTTGCCGTGCTCGCGCGGCGCCTCTCCCCCGCGCGGCTGCGCTAACGGCGCTCGCTGCTTCCATTCCTCGTCGTCGCCCTCCCGCGCCGCCCTGCGCCCGGGGCCCCCCCGTGGCCCGGGCGCCGAGGTGTCCGCGTGAATTCGCCGGATATGCGCCTGCCTGGATGCCCGGGCCATGCGTGTTTCAAGTGGTCCGCGATGATTTCTGAGGTTGCACTGCCAAGTGCGCAGGGTTTATTTGTTGGGGTGGATTTGTGGGATGTTCCACCGCCCGACAGAGCAAATCCAAACGAGCCTTCCGAGGCTCCGAACTTGAAATGCCAGATCGCAAGAACCGCGTTGAACGTCCAGCGTTTTGGGGATTGCAGCGTAATCAACCCGATCAATCCACATGAATAACCAGGGGCCGGGCGCCCAAGACGTCTTTGATGTAGAAGGTTCGGGGCCCTCGAGTGCTCGTGGGTGGGATTGTCATCGGAGCGTGGAAAATCATTCAATCGTGCGACAGCCCAAATGAAAACGCAGTGTTCCTGGGATTACCGCGCCAGAGCCCCCCTCGAAAATCCACGTGGACACTTTATTCTCGGCGCCCATGACGTCGCGAACAGTGCGAGTTCATTCAAATGCCTTCTCGTGTGAAAGAGGCCCTTGCAAGCTAGGGTCCTCCATTGGGGAAGACGACGTCCTTTCGCCTTCCACGGTGCGCGCGGCCAGATCACCCGCGCGCTGCACTGCGAGCGCGGTTGAAACAACATGCGGATTTTCGCAGACGTTCGGGGGCGAGGAAGAGGAATTTAATGCGGATCAGGACAGCGAGAACGATGATGGCAAGAGAAACTGACAAGAAACACAAGGAGAGGAGCAAACCAAGGACGCCGAAACCGAGTCCTTGCACGAGTGGGTGCTTGGGGTGGGGTGGGGTGTGTGGGGGGTGGGGCGTTTGTCCACGCGTGCGTGCATATATATATATGTGTATATATACACATTTATATAAATATGTATATATATACACATATTTATACATATATAAGCGAACACTTGCATGCATATACAGTTATACCCGCATGCAAACACTCACCTGTGTACGGATATGCCCAGTCCCGCGTAACTTATGTTCTGTATATGTATCGCGTTGTTTATATCACGCTCGTTTTTCGATTCACTTGTTGACCTGTTTTGCTTCATTCTCTCTGCTTCTCTCTCTCTCTCTCTTTCTCTGTCTGTCTTTCTCTCCTTTTTCTGCCCCCCCACCGCTGTTTCTTCTTCCTTCCCCCATACCCGCCTCGTCTGCTACTTCTTGCCCCTTCACCTCGACACATCATCCTCCTTGTTTCGCTTCCCGTCCAATTCGTCCTCCTCTGTCCTCTTCGGTCCTCCTCAGCCCGATCCTCGCTTCTTCCTCCTTGTCGCTTCCATTCTCTTCCCGCTGCCTCTTCCTCTGATTCCTCGCTGCGGCTGCCGCATTTATTTGCCCGCCCTGCGTGTTCCGCAGGAGTTCGCGGACGTCGCTTCGCTCGTGAAGGTCGCCGAGGCAAATTCCCAAGTCGTGGCGGGCGTCATTTACCAGCTCAAAATCCACGTGGCCTATTCGAACGAGGAAACTCGGGAAAAACATGAGGATGGGAGAAGGAAGGGGACGACGAGGAGGAGACGGATGAACACGCCGAGGATGGCGAAACGGAGGAGGCGGGAGGTGGGAGAAGCAGGAGGAATGAGAGGAAAAGGACGTAACTTGCCTGATCCCCGTTGCGCGATCTGCGGGACTTTCCCTTTCACCTTCTGCTCTCTGGCTTTTCTTGTCGTTGCGACTGGCGGCTTTTCTCCTGCATGGCCGCTGCGCTTGCTTCCTCTTTTGTCCCTGCGCGTGTGCTTCCACGTGCTCGCTGGGGTCAGCGGACATCGTTCCCGAAGACCTGGCCGGGGCGCAGGGCGCACCTTTCCCCACCTGATAGGCTTAGGCTTCTGGAATTAAAGAGAAGAGCTTCCGAACCGCCTCGGACACCCTGCCCAGCCACGCGCAGAAGGGGGTGCGTGGGGGGGGGATGGCTCCTTAAAAGCTCCCCTGCTTCTTAGCAGGCGCGGACCTCGTCTACAGATGGAGGGCTGGCGCCTTCTAAGAGCCAGCCCCCTTCTCAGAAGCCCCTCCCCCCTCCCTCCACCCCTTTTGTGCGCGCCGACGGCCTGCATGCCGCGGCCGCCAGGCCTACAGTGTGCCGGTGCTCCCCGGGTATCCCGCCTCGTGCTTTCGACGCGTGGCGACGGCACGCCGCGGCCGCCAGGCCCAAACAGGTGCCGCTGCTCCCCTGGGATCCCGTCTCGCGTTCTCGCTCGGGCATCGGGTCGTTCGAAACGGAGGCATCCAAGACACATTCACTTGGCATCGCTCGGACGTGTGCATTTTTCCTTTGGCGAGGACCATCGAGGAGCATCCTTGATCATTTGGCGAAAAACCACGCACGAAACCGAACAAAAAACAGGGAATGGACGTCCGAGCGATGGCGAGTTCATGATCTTGCGACCTAGGTTTGTTTTTTCTTAAACGTCTGCCTGAACTTTTTTTTTCAGTCCACGCGTCGAGCAGCGGATACGGCCAACCCGCGTATCAAGGATGAGGAACTTTCCGAGGCTACCCTTGCATCCTTCCCCTTCGGCCCGTGCTTGGCTGCTTTCACTAGCCGCGCTCCGCTAGTATGGTGTCGACATGGCCTTCCGTGGCCCTTGCATCCTTATCGTTCTTCCTTTGATGCGGGCTGACCTGTAGCGTTTCCGCGCCAGAGCCCGACACGTCGCCAGCTCGCAGGGCCTCGGGACAAACGCCGCACGCCCGCCCGTCGTGCTCTCACGCGCCCGCCCGCGCGCGGACGTGGACGTCCTGTGGCATGATCATGTTGTCAATGCCTTGACATTCTTCGGGCGTGCGCATTTTTGGGGCGGACGCCATCGAGGAATGTTGATGTTGATGATGATGATGCTGATGATGATGACGATGACGATGACGATGATGATGATGATGATGATGATGATGATGATGATGATGCTGATGATGATGATGACGATGGTTATTATGATGATGATGATTATGTTGATGCTGATTTCGATGATGATGATGATGCTGCTGTTGATGATGGTGATGGTGATGGTGATGATGTTGATGCTGATGATGATGATGATGCTGCTGATGATGATGATGATGATGATGTTGCTTACGATGATGATGCTGATGATGATGCTGATGATACTGATGATGCCGCTGATGATGATGATGATGATGATGATGATGTTGATGCTGATGATGATGCTGCTGATGATGATGATGATGATGATGATCATGGTGCTGATGCTGATGCTGCTGATCATGATCATGATTATGCTGATGATGATGCTGATGATGATGATGATGATGCTGATGCTGATGATGATGATGATGATGGTGATGATGACGATGACGATAACGATGACGATGATGATGATGATGATGATGATGATGATGATGCTGATGATGATGATGATGATCATGATGCTGATGATGATAATGCTGATGATGCTGATGATGATGGTGTTGTTGTTGACGATGATGATGATGATGATGATGATGATGATGATGATGATGATGATGATGATGATGATGATGATGATGATGATGATGATGATGATGATGATGATGATGATGATGATGCTGATGATGATGATGATGATGATGATGATGATGCTGATGCTGATGATGATGATGATGATGCTGATGATGATGATGATGATGATGATGATGATGATGATGATGATGATGATGATGATGATGATGATGATGATGATGATGATGATGATGATGATGATGATGATGATGATGATGCTCATGCTGATGCTGCTGATGCTGCTTCTGCTGATGCTGATGCTGCTGATGCTGCTTCTGCTGATGCTGATGCGAAGGAGTAGGCGGAGGAAGAGGAGGAGGAGGAGGAGGAGGAGGAGGAGGAGGAGGAGGGAGGAGGCGGAGGAGGCGGAGGAGGCGGAGGAGGCGGAGGAGGCAGGAGGAGGAGGAGGAGGAGGAGGAGGAGGAGGAGGAGGAGGTAGACGAGGAGGTGGAGGAGAGCAGGAGGAGGAGCTGCAGGAGTAGAGGAGGAGGAGCGAGGAGGAGGAGGAGGGAGGAGGAGGAGGAGGATGAGGAGGAGGAGGAGGAGGAGGAGGAGGAGGAGGAGGGAGGGAGAGTGTACGGAGGAGGGGGGCGGGCAACGAGGAGACCAACGTCTTTACAGCGAAGGTCTTGAAGCCTCTGCCGCACACGGGCAACCCGATGCAGCTCATGCAGCACGAGCACCTCGGCAAACTGTGACGTAGGGCCGTGGCGCAGGGCCGTGGCTTCTTGTCGTTTCTGTTTCTCCGCGCGAACAGTGTTCGCACCGCGTCGGCGATGCGATGCGCGGAAGAGGCGGCGAGCCCTCCGACTTCATAATCTCCCGTCGTCCGCGTCCGTATCTTTCTTTCCCTGCTGCTGCTCCTCATCCTTCCCCTGCCAATTCCTAATCGCCCATCCTCCTCCACGTCGGCCTCCACCTCCTCCGCCTCTCCCTGTTCTCCTCCACCCCTCCATTCCTCCTGTTCCTCCTCCGCCTCCTCCCCCTCCTCCTCCTCCTCCTTCCTCCTCCTCCTCCTCCTCCTCCTCCTCCTCCTCCTCCTCCTCCTCCTCCCCCCCCTCCTCCCTCCTAGCTCATCCCTGTCCCCTCAGTCCCATCTCCTCCTCCGTCTCCTCCATCCCTCTTCATTACTAGTTACTCCCTCTGACGCACCACCCAGGCGTGTCCGCAGTCTGGGCCTGGCGATTCGCTTTCGATTCTCTTGCATATTGTGCATCCCGGCGCTGGAACAGTTTCAACAGCTGCAAAGTTTCGGGGGTGAGGACTGGGGGGGGCCAGAGTTCATGGCGCCTCTTCTTGTTTCGCTACCTCCCCCCGAACCTCCCCTTGGCCGCGCGCATGCCGCCGGCCATGATGTGCACACCCCCTCTTGGACGCCCCCTTGGCCGCCCCCGATTTTGCCCGTCGTTAAGAAAATGCGACTCTCGCCTGAGCGACGCACGCATTCGTCTCACAAGTTCCAGCACTTACAATGATGGAGGGCTGGTGGTTTTCAAATTTCTGCTCTTGGGTAGTTTCAAAATGCGATTCTCGCCTTGGCGTCATGCACTTTCGTTCTAAAAGCTTCCAGCAGTTACAGCATTATGTAGGCGGGTTCGTTTTCCATATTTGGCCTTTCGCTCGAGATTTCCTCAACGTGCCCCGAAATTCGAATGTGCGCAACGGTTACACGGATGGAAGGTGGCTTGTTTGCAAAGCGGGGCTTTCGCCCTAGCGCCGCGCTCATTTGTCTCCGCAATCAATTAGGTAACTAGACGGGTGGACGGGGGTTGTTTTCGAATGCGGCTCTCTCCCTAGCACTGTGCACATTTGTTTCAACAGTTTCAGCACGGGTGGAGGCTGGTTCGTTTTCAAAACACGGCTTCCGTTTGATGAGTCTTCGAATGCTGTGGTCCGAAGCTCTGATTTGTGCAACACTTACACGAATGGAGGGCGGTTATTTCCCTAGGGCCTACGAGGAGGTGACTTAGGACCGAAGGGTGTAATACAGCATGGTTGATTCATCCTGGCTTTGCTCTGGTCCTCCTCCTCCTGCTGGCAGCATGGAGTTCCCGCAAACTGCCCCAAAGTCATCTGTGTGTTTGCCGATGACCGCCTCATCCCTACAGATGGTTGAGATACCCTTTACGGTAGGCGTTGGAAAGACAAGCGTGCGATGTGGCGCCGCAAGCCAGGTCAGTACACGCTGTCTCCCACTTGGGGGACAGCGGGCACCGAAGAAGCCCCGTCAGGGGGACGGGCGTGCAGAGATGGGGCCCTCGCGGGGGGAACGCCTCGGAGGGATAGCGTGATGTTCGGAGGTCAATGCTGCGCGCTACCTTTCCAACGCCAACCGTAAGCCTATGGCGAGCTTGGTAATACCCCTCCTCCCCCCGCCCTCGTCCCCCTTTTCCAGCTCGGCCCACTCCCGCTCCTGCGGGCTATGTTCTCGGCTACGGTCGCTTCTTCGCTGGCGCTCTTCCTCCTCCGCCTCTTCCTCGTCTCCCTCGTCATCCTCATCCACGCACCAAGCGCTCGGGACGGGAGGGTGCATTGCAGTACCGTTGAGGCATCTTGGGTTTTCCCAGGTCCTCCTCCTCCTCCTCCTTCCCTCATCCTCGTCCTCCCCCTCCCCGTTCCCTCCCCCGTCGCGTCCCCCCCTCCCTCCTTTCCAGCTCGGCGTTCCCGCTCATGCGGGCTATGAGCTCGGCCGTCGCCGCTTCTTCGGTGGCGCTCCTCCTCCTCCTCCTCCTCTTCCTCCTCCTCCTCCTCCTCCTTCCTCCTCCTCCTCCTTCTCGTCTCCCTCTTCGTCCTCCTCCACGCGCCCAGGCGCTGCGGAGGTTCCTCCTTCACATACAGACCTGAGAGCCGATACCATGAGCAAGACCATGCCGCGCCGCGCAGACTCACGAGCGGAGCCCCAGACCCGACCCGGACCGATCCGTGAGGGTGCTAGCTGCCCGGTGCCGGGCAACAATCCCCTGTTTGCGAGAACGCTGCACCGCCCGGAACTCAGGCCATGTGGACGCAGCCGCCGCCGCCGGCGACGGCGCCGCCGCCCCAGCAGCCCCCGGCGGAGTCGAGCGGAGGTGGTGATGGGATGATTTTCCACCACCGCTACCACGGGTAGGAGAGGGGGAAAGGGGAGGAGGATGCGGAGGCGGAGGATGCGGAGGCGGAGGAGGAGGACGAGGAGGAGGAGGCGGAGGAGGAGGAGGCGGAGGCGGAGGAGCAGGAGGCGGAGGAGGCGGAGGAGGAGGAGGAGGCGGAGGAGGAGGAGGCGGAGGAGGAGGAGGCGGAGGAGGCGGAGGACGAGCAGGAGGAGGCGGAGGAGGAGGAGGACGAGGAGGAGGAGGAGGCGAAGGAGGAGGAAGAGGAGGAGGAGGCGGAGGAGGCGGAGGAGGCGGAGGCGGAGGCAGAAGGGGAGAGAAGGAGGAGGACGAGGACCTCCCCATCCTCCCCTCTCCCCCGCCCTGCCTGTGGCAGTGGCGGCGGGACCTTGGCCCACCAGGTGGGCAGGGCGACGACCCGCTTGCGGCGCAGATCATGGAGCTGCTGGAGCGCCCGGAGGGCACCGGCCGTGCACCACGGCGCCGGCCTTGGCCTGGCCGAGCCCTGGGCCCGGGAGCGGTTTTCTTGGGTTTCGAGGGTTTTGCTATGGAGCGCGTGACGTTCCCACACCAAAAACCAATGGACGTCCTGGGGTCTCAAGAAACAATGCGTCGGGTGATGACTACAGTCGAGGTTGATTAGTAGGTCGACCCTGCCACATCAAGGGTACCCTTGTGTCCTGGCAATTTGACGCTCGGAAGGGTCTCGTGTCCTCTCGCGTGGCCTCTCCAATCAACCCCAAGCTGTAGAGGGGGGTGGATATCATGGCAGGGGCCATGATATCTCCACATGTTTCGTGGCGCCTGCTGATGCTCCGCCGTTTCCTCCGTCCTCTTCTCTGCCTAATTCAAGCTTCGCGCGGCCCGCTTAGCTTCGACCGGAAGAGGTGCGCTCTCGACCCGCGGATCAAAAACATGTTTCGTGGCGCCGCATCTTGTTTCAACACGTGCCCTGGCTCCCCCCTCCCCGGGGCCGCGCACGTGCCCCTGGCCATGATTTGCGCTGCCCCCTCTTCGACGCCACCCTCTTGGCTTAGGTCGGGCGTGTTTCCCGACATGAAGATTTTGAACGACAGATCAAACAAATGTCAAAGCATACATCAGCATAATCAACAAGTGCTCAAAGATTCGTCCCCATGCTATGTTTTGCCTATTTTTGAATTTTCCTCCTGTAGAGGGACACGCCCGACTTAACTCTCGGCCGCCCCCGAGGGGCGCTGCATTTCTTATCGCTCGCCCCCCGCGGTGCTGTCGTCACGCGTCGGGCCACATGGCCTTCGCGGGGCCTGAAAATGCGGGGCCCCAACATGTACACCACCACCACCTCCCTCACCCCCTCCATTGGGGCCGAACGAAAGGGGGGGATAGGGACAGGGGGGGGTACGAAATATGCTGAATGCAGCTGGTTTCGGCCTCGCCGCCGGGCCCATTCCTCGATACACGAGCGCCTCCCGGCGCCCGCAGGCGCTGGGAAAATCAGCTACGCAAGTTGATTCTCTACCCTACCCTATGCTATCCCTCCCTTTCGTTCTCCCCAGGACGGAGGCGAGGAGGAGGAGGGCAGAGGAGGGAGAAGGAATATCGACGTGGTGGTGGTGGTGGTGGTGGTGGTGGTGGTGGTGGTGCATGTTTTCGGGTTCCGCAAGACATGCCACGGGGACATGGGGTCCCGGGCTCCGTTCGGGTTTCCTCGCCGTTCGGCGCTGTTTTCCCGCGACGTCGGGTCTCAGGGGACACTGAGATCCGACGTGTTGGGATGACCGTGGATAGGGGGGTTACAAGTGGATGCTAAGGTGGGTTATATCTCGCCCAACCTGGCTTACAAGTGGGTTACACGTTCCCCGAGTGGCTTAGGGGTGTTCGATCCTTAACCCCCCTGAGCTACTTGGGGCATTTGTAGCCCACTCACAAGCCAGGGTGGGCCAGATAGAACCCACCTTGGTATCCACTCGTGACCCCCCGATCCACTTAGAAAACCCCCACGGTCATCCCATCAGCGAAACACATGCAACATCGTAAAACGGCACGCCGAAGCCCTATAGACCCCACCTCTCCGCATCGTCTTTCGAACCAGATCGATCTGTGAGGGTCCCGGGGCCCGACACAGGGCGAGAACGCCCGGCCCGAAAGAAGTCGGGACGCCAGGATTGGGGGTGGACAGAACCCCCAACAGAGACACGTCGATTAGTGAATTGTCCGTTTTCGGTTTTCGAGAGGGCGCCGTGGCCGTTATTTTCCAGGCTTGCGCCCGCCAGGTTTGGGCCCGAAGTCGTTTTCACTGAACCACGTATTACTAAAGGGAGGTTTGTCCATCCCCGAAGGATGTCCCTGGAGTGAATCGATAGAAATATTGCAGCTGCAGCCCTGAGACTTTCACCAGCAGGCGCAGCGCGATCCAATGCTGAGCAGAGCAATCCTGGATTTCAAAACGAGCTGTCGAATCTCTCCAAATCTGGCCAAAAAGCGCCTCAGGGCACGCCCTCCTGGCCGGGCCAGCAGGGCGCCAGCACCGACGCCACGGGCCCAGGGCAGCGCGCCAGGCCAGCGCCGCCGCGGTCGGCGTGGCCCGCGCCGTCCCAAAGGTCGGTATCCTTGGAGCAATGCCCATCCCCAGCCACAATCCCTTCGATCAACGAGGACAAATCCACCCCGATCCCCATGATCGGCGTTTACTGAACAGCCCCGTGCGTTTACTAAGCAGCGCTTTCTTGTTCGACTCTTTCGTCGGGTGCGTTATTGGGTCGGAGTAGATGGGGT